ATTGGGCAGTTGGGTTGCAAAAAAACATCATAAATGTTATGTACTTATAAATACAATGTTAATCGAAAGTTTGGATTTGCATTTATCATGAAAGACAAAAGAGTTGGAAAACTTAGAGTGCAGAACTTTACTATTACTATAGCCAAATACTCCTACAGATAGTAACGCTATTATAGGAGACCATAGAAGAAGGTTTCATTGTGAATTAGTTGCTTGTTTAAGCTTTATGCCACTACGCGTTCCGTCCCAGAAGCACTATCCATCCTGCGCATGCACAAGCAGATATACATCGGGGCGTCCATGTATAATGTAATTATGGTACTAAAATTACTTATTTCTATCCTTAATTCTCCAAATAAAGCTAAAACACATCTTTAAAAAATGTTTCACGACTTTTGTGAGACAATTTTAGTGCTTTTTACATTTTCTCAGTTAAACTGCTTCTCTGATGCATCATGGGACATAAGCTGATAGCACATGCGCAGAACGGATCGTGCTTCCGGGACGGATCGGGTAGTGGCAGTTTGTTAATACATCTTTTCACACTAAAGCAATACCCAGGGGAAAAGTTAGAAAAATCATGTACTGTGGAAGTTTCATTGAATCCTACCACTGAAGAAGAAAAGAAGTACATTTAGCTAGAGTATAAACACTGGAAAATCTTACTCGGATCTAATCCTATTGATAAGGTGGATCTGTATGCATGATGCTGAAAATTAGCATTTGTTGTAACTCACAGTTGATACTGCTTCATGTGTGCCATGTTATGTCCTTTACAGATTATCCAAAGAATCATTGTCTTTGAGTCCTTCAGCTGATGTCCGTCAGCTCTGTGTTTATTTTCTTAACAGTTATTGCGAGGCAATCAATAGCTTGGCCTGAATACCCATAACTGGTCTCCAAGACATCATCCTCTCAGCCATCGTCGTTGACAGAGTACTGCCTCACCAGGAGAGGTCTTCTATGATGAGGAATCTCATTCTTGTAGTCATTGGCGTAGATAACCACTTTGCCAACGTCGTCAGCTCTGCTCATAGGGCTGTAATCCATGGAAACCCCAGAGTCTGCAACTGCCATGTAGGTGTATCCCTGTTCTTTGCCTATCCAGGCATTGTTAGGATACTCAAAGCTGGACTGAGATGAAAGGTTCCCAGAACCGGTGCTTTGCTGCACAGAGCCCAGGTCGGAGTGAGACTCACTGCTGGGAGTCTTTCTGGAGTCAAAGAGAACCCCAAGCGGTGAGGCTTCCTCAAGAGCGTCCTCTGTGTGCTCTTCTTCGTTGCGTTTGTTGCCGCTGAGGGTGATGTAGGTGTCTTGGGATTCCAGTAGAGAA